TGTAATGTCTGCTCTTTAATTACCATAACAAAGGAGGGCTGTACTGCACATAGGAAGAGCTGGGCCAGGATTCCTCACAGGCCATGTGTACATAGTGATCAAACTTCCAGAACATACATTTTGCTTTCCATTTAGTAAAAACTAAAATAAAACCAAGAAATAAATCAATCATTTTTGAAGCTTTGGTTAGACAATACTTGCAAATAGTATCTTCTTTTCCTGAATGTTGTATTAATTTTATTGTAGCTATCTCAAACATTCAGAAAGTTCTTACTTATAACTGAGAGCACAAGGTATATAAAATCAAATATGTATAAGAATAAGAATATTGTAAGAACTAAAGGAAGTATTTGTGAGGTGAGAAAATAAAAGAGCTTTGAATTTAAATGTTTAGGAAATAGTAAAAATAGATATATTAGGGATTATAACTTCCTTGAGACAGAGAACATGTCATTTGTTTCTTCTGTATTTTCATATAATAGTGAAAATGCCAACAAAAAGAGAGTTTGTATACCTTGATTAACATAAAGCAAAAAAGAAGTCATAAAAAATTAAAGGGCATACACATTCAGTGATTCATAAATAGATTAATTTTCTGAAAATATAGCAATTAGGAAACAATACATCTAATAACATAGATTCAAGATTTATAAACATTTCAGAAAAAGAAGAAATTTATTTTAATGCCTCTCCCCAGCCCCGAAGATTACAAATAAAGTAGAGGTTAAAAAGTTTTATGTAGCCCTGGCCAGTGTGACTCAGTTGGTTGGAGCATCGTCCCATGCACTGAAAGGTGGAGGGTTTACATTGATGTTTCTCTACATTTCTTTCCTTTCCTTTCTCTAAAATTCAATAAAAAGTGTATCTGTGAGGAAAAAATATATATTTCAAAGGCAGTTTTGAATAACAACTGTTAAGCTTGACTAAAATAACAGGCTCAATCTAATTATTAGATTCTGATAGAATTGTCTACCAAATAAATTGAAAATACATATTTTTCAAAAGTACAAGAAATATTTATAAAAATTGACCATGTACTGGATGCACTAGAAATTTCATTAACTGATATCATATAGGGTTCATTTACTGAGCACAAAAATAAATTCACTTCACAATCCTGAATCCTCTCATTAAAAAAAAAAAAAGATGAGAAAAAATTATTTACCTAAAAATTTACAAATATATTTCTAAACTATTCATTGCCTAAAGAGGAAACCATCTTGGAAATTTTCATAGATTTAGAAGTGAGAGAATAAAAACTAAATATCAGGTTCTGGGAGAGGAAGTCATCATGGTACTCAAAAGGAAATTTATAATTTAAATGTATTTGCTAGAAAACAAGAACAACTTGGACAAGTGAAGAAGCTAGCTTTCAACTCAGGATGCTAGAAAAGAAATCCTAAGAAAATAACCAATGACATGAAGTCAAATAAAGTACAGGGAAGAAAATATTAAAGGTAAATCCATAATGAATAAATAAAAACCAAAAAGTTGACCCATAAAACAAAATAACTGGTTATAAAAAAAGACAAATCTTTGTACAATAAAAAAAATTCCATTTCTTTAAAGTCTTTCATAGCATCAGGTGCATCTTACAAGATTTTCTACAATGTCTGTAAAAAACAATCTGGAAATCTTTAAAAGGTCTCTTTTCCCTATAGAAACTTTGTTTCAGCTCAGGCTGAGTATTCTTTGGTTCACCTTTTCTTTCTTTTGTATTGTGTTATATTCTCAAATATCAGAGTATATATGTTTGTTTATGATAATGAAGTTCTAGGTGTTTTTTTAAAAAAATATGTTTTTATTGATATTTTAGAGAGAGAGAAAGAGAGTGACACTGGATGTGGGAAACTGGCAGCAATTCAGGCCTTCACAGGGTTATTGTAAGGATCACTTAAAACAGACCAGCTTACAGGATTCATTTAATATATCTTACCCATTGCTATCTTGCTTGAAGTAAAACCTATCTAAGAGATATAATATTTATGACAAGCAAAATATCCATTTTATTATTTATTAGGTATGCAAAGTTATATGTTGCTCCATTTTCCTTATATGATGTCATGTGATAACTTCCTTTTGGAATTTATTATCAGGAAAAAAGCTTGTTTTTCTTGAAGAATTGATATGTTTCCTTTCCTCAGGTAATGAGAAATGCATAGTCCATTACCTCTCCCTTTTTGCCCAGTCTGCCCAGGAGTTCAGAGTGAAACTTAATGTTTCCTCAGGGGAACGATATTAACTCTAGTGGGAAGCATATTTACCTACTTCTCCTTCATTTGCCTTTTATTTTCTATTTATAATCTGACAGCGGTGTAATATAAAACGTTAACTTTAAATTTCTTCAATCCTTCCTACAAAGCAAGTAAGCAAGCAATAAAGTGGTATTTTGTGTACGTCAGAAGAGTCTTAAAAGGAGAGTGAAAAACAATCCCTGCTTGCAAAGGACTCTAAGTCTAGAGCAGAGTCCTTTCCTATGGCAATTCACAGTCAGAAAGACTTTTCTATTGCCATTCAGTACATGTGCACATATATTTGCTTCATGCATGTCTATGAAGCAAAAGTTCAAGACCAATACTACTCAAAATGTTCCCATCTCTTAATAAACAACAACTCAATCCTCATAACTATGAATGAGCTAGGCCCTATCATTATTAACCCTATTTTTTTCAGATGAGGAAAGTGAGACACAGGAAGGTTAAATGCTCAGCCAAAATCAGCCAGTGCTAGTAGTGTGAAGCTGGCGTCTGGGGAGTCTGGTAGTAGAACCTGCACTCTATTTCATTACATTAAGCGCCCTCCCAATATCAGCCTCACCCTGTGCAGAGCATGCCTTTCTAAGGCTCTATTTTACTCTCCTCCCTTTCATTTTTTTAAATCCTGGTCATGATCCCCAAACAGATGGGTCATAACCACTACCCACTAATGGGTCACATTCTACAGTTTGTTAAACATTCATCAGGAAGGAAAAACCCCACACAAACATGATTGTCAGTGGTTACTAAAGAGAGCTCAAGCAGGAGCCCTGAACTCTAGCAGGAGGGTGAGGAGGAGCTAAAGGAGGCCTCACAGAGCAAGAAGCAGGCAGAGGCTGGAAGAGAAAAAGTTTAGCAAGTACACAGCAGTGGGGAAAGAGGAGGGCATTTTAGACAGGGCACATGTGCAAGGCGATGAAGGGACAAATGCTCACCACTCATTGATATCCTTGTACCTGGCTCAAAACCTGTGAGACAGGTACGAGCACTAAAGACACACGTGAGCAGCCATGGCTCCAGCCCTCCTGGAGCTGATCGTCTAGGAGAGGACACAAAGTAGCCATATCGATACAAAGCTATAAGTGCCATGATGGGAGGCATTCTGGGTATTGTAGATCTTAGAGTAGGTTTCATTACAGGTATTAGGCTAGCAAGGTTACCTAATATAGTTGAGCCATTTAAGAATGAGTAACAGTCAGCCAGGACATGGTAAAGGGAAAATACAGTCTAGGCCAAGGGAACGGCAATACACGAAAGCTGGAAGATGAGAGAGGGTGCTGTTTAATGAAGGTCAGATGGGGAGCTTTAAGAAAAATGCAATATTAAGGACTGAAATTTACCCAGTGCTACTTGTTGAATTTAAAATCGATCTGGTAATCTCCTTAGTGAAAAAATATATTATTAAGAGAATACACATCAATATAGACTATTTTGCATTGTCTTAGATCAAAGTTGTCTTCAATACCTACTGAGAGCTTAGCAGATTTTACATATATGGATTTGCAGCTTGTTAAATTATAGAAGAAGAAGTTTAATTCCAAACTAAAGCCCAAATTCTTAAGCCACTTACAGCTGTTTGGGTGTTCTTATATTTAAATCAGAATGCAAGTGTCACTCATATGTATTTTTCTTTTTAGAAGTATGTAATCAGACAATATTGACCTTTAGTTTTACCCAACAGGCTACCATGGGAAGTTAACAAATTAACAATCAGAAGAACATTTAACAAAAGGTCTCAGATACTACATATAGCTGTTAGTAGAGCTCCAAGGAAGAAGTGCTTACAGCTACTGTAAAATTTTGTCACTCCATAAAATAAAGTATCTACCGACAGAATGAGCTATTCCCTATTTCTGTCATATTCAGATTGGCAAAATAATATCTAATAAAAGGAAATGCATCAAGAAACTTAAGAATTTTAGATTATATAAAACTCTATATCAAAAATATGATTAGGAATACTTTTTCATTAGTCCTGGACAATACTAATATAATTTTTAAAGTATTTCTTCATAAAATATTTTAATTGGATGATTGAATGAATTCTACAAGATACACATGCATTTACAAGGTTTGATTTTTCAATGCTTACAACTAAAGATCTGATAACAGAATCACCAAGTCTATAGGTAAGAAATATAAACCTGTTCAGCTATTTTTCTATTTACTTATCACTAACCTACATGGATTTTTTAAATTGTTTTTACACTCAACATAAATTAGCTTCTAACTAGTGGTAAAATGGCAAAGTTTACATTGTTTATTTAAAAACTAAATTCATACAACTTAGAATTATTTAAAAATTAACCAATAAACTATAATTCATTAAATCTTTTGTGGGTTCTGGGTTGGGGAGGAAACACATTAGTAAGAATTATTTTTTAATCACTAGGAATAAAAGATACATGAATCTTTCTCTTAAAGCTTTTTTTCACCCACATGGAGGCAACACACCTTAAAATGGAGGTTAATAAGCAATTAACGGCACAGATTTAACTAAAATATTACAAATGTGACAGTATAATAGCTTGGTAAATATGAGAATTTTGAGAGCCATAAAATTAAAGACTTTGATATGTGTAAGATCAATAGACATGACTTATCACTATTTAATATGAGCTTTAATTTTTAAACGTCAAGTTCCAATGAAAAGGTGTACTGCACAGGAAAACTGAAATTTCAATAAGGAATCAAGACAAAAGAAACAAACTTTATATTAAAGTGCCTTTAAGAGGTTATACTTACGCAGCAACCTCCTCTTTTGACAATCCTTTGAACTTCACCTCCAGATAATGATCTATGTCATCTTTTTCTTTGATCAACTCAGACCTAAATGAAATGGAAATAAATAATAAAGCACTGCCTTATCGAGTAGAAAAGCTACCAAACATAAAATGCCACCAGGAGAACACAAATATTCAGGGCATAAAACCATATATAATAAATGTTCTGTAGTAGCTGTGGAGTTAGGTTATTGATTGATAATTTCTAAATTTTCATTTTCTCATATGAAAGAGGCAGGGCAGAATATTAAACGCAGTGTGTAAACAAATAAAAACCAAACACATTAAAATAATCTGCATTTTTTAAGTAATGGAATTTTTTTACTCAAAACTGAGGAGATCTTCCATTTTACTCATGCTGTTTCACAGAATAACTTTCACGAAGTCATATTCTGTTTGGCACAGAATCTTGAACTAAGACTACCTATTGGATACAAATGTGTAACATTTATTTGTTCCAAACATTAACAAATTTGCTAATTTGTTAATGAAATGCTAATGAAATGCTGCTTGAGTGTTTTTTTAAGTCATAGATAAAACTCAAATGATTATTAAAAGTTCATAGTGATTTTAAGAACACTTTACTGAGAAATATATTACATGTATAGTGTTTTATTCTTTACACTCCTTGAACCTTTAAATATAAGCATATTATTAATAGTTTATAAGCATGGGAGTATGGAACTGAACAATTATCTGTTTTTATTCGGAAGTAATGGAGAATGTTGATACAAAACTCTGCTTTAAATGGTTAGAATAAAAAATGTTTTTATTCAATACAAATACAAGAAAAAGTTTTCTTTGAAAATCCATCTTATTTTAAAGATGTGAGATTGGCTAAATTTTTACTCATATTGTAAAGGAAATGTAATCTCAATAATTAAAAACAAGAATAAGAAGAATCTTTTTCAGGCTGTGTTAATATTTCACATTGCTCAAAAGTAAAATATACATACTAGTATATGTACATATGTATCTGTAATATAATATACCAGTTATACCACAATAATATATATCCTGGAATTATGTATTTATAAAAATTATTTTTTGAAAAATTTGAAAAGAAAATTTGATTTTCTATTATAAAAGTGTTTTTTATGTAGTCTAGCTAAATGTATTTATTTGGTCCAGGGGCTTTGGTCTTTCCCAGAAATACTTAAAATGAGGTATGATGTTTTTCAGAACAAAGTAGTCTCATAATACTGTCTTTGATCATTATGCTTGGCAGGAATTGAAAAGCATGTATGTAAAGAAAATAATCAGACCAAGATATGCAAATTATTTATATTGATAAAGAGTATGTGCATTATTAAACATCGATACAATTATAAATGCCATTACCAAACAATGCAATATTAGTTAATATTCATAATTACGACAAAATACATCAAGTTCTCTGTCCTGCAGTTTCTGGGCTACCACTCTGGGGTTCTGCAGCCCCTCACTGGCAGCAGCAGTTAGATGGTGTGTTTGCAGGCCCCATGGTCATTTCAGGAGCTAAATCGTGCCTGCCAATCTACCTTAGTAGTAAGACTGTGTCTTCCTTCCCCCAAAGCAGAAATCAGCATTCAGGACCTTGTGGATTGGAAGCCAGATACTATTCATTCCTAAAGCTTCTGCATTTTGTTCTCCATCCACATTTTTTTTTAAAAAAATGTATTTTCAAAGCTTTATAGGAACTATGATATAATGGGAATCTATCTATCTATCTATCTATCTATCTATCTATCTATCTATCTAAAAGCCTAAGTGACCGTTCGACCATTTGACTGATAGCTATGATGCACACTGACCACCAAGGGGCAGACGCTCAATGCACAGGCATGGAAACATGGAACAGAATGATGAATCTCAGAGGGAAGCGGGGAGGGGTAGAGCGGAAAGAGATTAGCCAAAGATTTTATATGCATACTAGAGGCCCCGTGCACGGATTTGTGCACGAGCGGGGTCCCTTGGCCTGGCCTGCGGGGATTGGGCCAAAACTGGCCCGGTGCATAAATTTGTGCACCGGTGGGGGGCCCTTGGTCTGGCCTGCAGGGATCAGGCTGAAACTGGCTCGCCAACATCCTCTGAGGGATCCTGGATTACAGAGGGTACAGGCCAGGCTGAGGGACCCCACTGGTGCACGAATCCATGCACGGGGCTTCTAGTATGAAATAAAATTATCAAATGAGCACTAGCTTGTTAAATAAATATATTCTTAATATTTAAGTGGAGTCCATCAATTCTTTTAACACCACACATTTGAATACTCTAAATATAACAATATACTTTTGTCTGTAAACACCTTGTTTTCTGAGACATGTTATTGGCATTCTTACAGGAAGGAGTTTATTCTGTAGGAAGAGAAATGAAAACCAAGGTCACGTACCGTGGCGTTGTTCTGGGGGAGCATGGCAGCTTCTCTCTGGCTAAGGCTGTAAGCTTGGGGCGTGACATGGGCAGTGGGGGTAGGGTCGTCATTCCAGACTACAAATAAACACACACATACACACACACACACAGAAAAGGTATTTTAAAGAATAAATCTTTCAAAGAATATTGTTAGATCCACAGCCTATCATCTGAGCTGAGAATGCCTGGGTGTACACAGAGCTACAGCTCTGTTATTCATTATAGGGGCAGATACTCAGTGAGTGAATTCCACAGGTTACTTCTCTCATTATTTTCCTCTACTAGATGCCTTGTGGCCAATTTATTACTTGCTGCCTCTCTACCATGAAGGAGAAAATCTGATTAATGAGTTGAAAATTCAGTCAATCAGGAGTGTTGGTATAAGAGAAATGATTGCAATTAAAAAGTAAAGATTTTTAGGGCAGCTACGAATTTCAAATGTTCATGCTTTGCTTGCCTGCTATGATCAATAATTGAAAATTGCTCATATTTTTCTATTTTCTAAAAAACTTTATCATTCACAAATAAAGGCTTTCCCTTAGAAAGGACAGATGCCAAGAATAATTCTCAACATTGAGACAGCTGTCATGAGAGACACACAAAGAAAACAGTGTAACAAATCACTTCGAAACACAGTGGTTTTAAAAAAGATTAATTCAAACAATAATCATTTTATTATCTTTCACATTTTTTGTGGTCAAGAATTAGGATAAGGCACAATGGATTGGCTTTTCACTACTGCACAACGGCAGGGACCTCTGCTGGGAAGACTTAAAAGTTGGGGGTAACTCAATGAGGGGAAGCAGAAAGCATCTGTATGTGTCTTTACTCCTATATCTGATAGTTGATGCCAGATCAACTGGGGTCTCTGGCAGAATATGTACAAGTGGCCTTTCCATATGGCTTGAGCTTCCTCACAGCATGGCGAACCTAGACTTATTACTTGGAAGCTTAGGGGTCCAAAGGCAAGTATCCCTAAGAAAAGCCAGGTGGAAGCTGTTCCCCTTTTAGGGCCTGTCCTTGGGAGTTACATAGCATCACTTCTGCTGTAATAATAGGCCCCCGAGTTGTGAATTCAAAGCTAGTGAATATAGACCCCCCAGTTGATGAGAGAGCATCAAAGTCACATTGACAGAAAGAATGTGAGATGAACGATATTATTGGGGCCATCTTTGGGAAATGCAATTAGTCACAGTGGAGAAGATGAGTGATAATAATAAAAGTGAGGCCGTAGCCGGTTTGGCTCAGTGTATAGAGCATCGGCCTGCGGACTGAAGGGTCCCAGGTTCGATTCTGGTCAAGGGCATGTACCTTAGTTTCGGGCACATCCCCAGTAGGGGGTGTGTAGGAGGCGGCTGATGGATGTTTCTCTCTCATCGATGCTTCTAACTCTCTATTCCTATCCCTTCCTCTCTGCAAAAAATCAATAAAATATATTTTTTAAAAATGTTTAAAAAAAGTGAGTCTATAAAACCAAGTTATCTAGCCCTGACTGGTTTGGCTCAGTGGATAGAGCGTCAGCCTGTGGACTCAAGGGTCTAGGTTCAATTCTGGTCAAGGGCATGTACCTTGGTTGTGGGCACATCCCCAGTAGGGAGTGTGCAGGAGGCAGCTGATCGATGTTTCTCCCTCATCGATGTTTCTAACTATCCCTCTCCCTTCCTCTCTGTAAAAAATCAATAAAATATATTTTAGAAAAACCAACCAAACAAACCAAGTTATCTAAACCTTACTCCAAAGAGGAGGAAGTGTGGAAACAATGTCAGTGGACATAGACTGATGAAATGGTCACATGCTGTGAGGGCTTTCAGGTGCCAAAGAACCCACACTTCTACTGTTAAATAGAAAGGCACCCCAAAGCCAGAGCTTCTTGATTCCACCACCACTATGCCCATCAGCTTTGACCTCTACCATGAGCCCCACCAAGCAACAGGAAGGCTTGTTTTTGGTTTTTACATTATTTACCTCCAGGATTTACTACCTTTGTGACATAGGGTAAATCATCATCAGTCTAGACCTTGAATATATTCAACAATTAAGGTACTACTTGGTGCTAGATACTATTCTAGGTGTTGAAGATACAACAGTGAACAAAAAGACAAAGGTCTCTGACTTTGTGAATTTACATAATAGGGGTGGATGTGGGGGGAAAACAGACAATACACAAAAAACACAATATATAGAAGATCTATAGCAAACATTAGAAACATTGTATTATACTTTATAACTTCATAATATAGTGACTTAATTCTTTTGTAATTTGAAAAAAATCTATTTCTCTGATTAGGTGTTGCATTAATTAGTTGAGTTATTGCATAACCAGAACTTATTAAATGGCAACCTTTGCAGAACTTGTGGTGACAAATTATGACCAACACAGGCCTGGACCCCACGTACAGTTTTGAAGGGATACCAAAGGCTCCCAAACCCACCTCCCAGGAGCCTATTTCACAGAAACTGTGAGACGCCATGTGCAGAGTCCTCTAATGTTACAGAGCAAATCTGGACCTTCTCAGTTTCTTAACCCTGACTTGTTTCTCCCTAGTGGATTTTGAAAAGGAGAGGAGAAAACAGAGACTGTTCTTGCTTCAGTCTGGGCATTCCATCCTCTATGAATCAAGACTCTTCTGAGAGCCCCACTTTGCATAATAAGGGCATTGGTGCAGGGGTGATGAATGCATAATTGTGCTTTAAAATGAGAAAACAGTACTTGTAATTTCTCTAAATACTAGGAAGACAAGGCTACTTACAAACAGTGGGACCAGTCCCCAGAAGCTCTGATCCAGCCAATATATCCCATCAAGATATGTATCAGCACCCTCTCCCCAAGTTGGGCTACAAGTATGGGATAAAAGAATTGTCCTTTTTAATGTTTCCTGGGGTTAGATTACTTTGCTAGGAAATATAAACAACTAATGAAATCCGATGCAAATGTCATAGAGCATGATGGCATTTGCTCATCGTGAGTTACTGCATAACCAGAACTTATTAAATGAACCTTTTGAGCTCGGCGTGTCAGCATTTTGAAAAACCCTAACTTAACTCTGGTGCCGTGTCGCAGATAGA